GACCATCTGCCCTCGGTCTCGGAAAGAAAAGAAGAAAGGGACCCGTATCTCGGTTTTTAGAGTTGTGCACGTCCTACGCAGTATATTAACAACGCTGGCTTGACGCTTGTGTTTAGGTGTTGGTTTATGACTCGAGTTTTTACGGGGTTGTGAACTTTGTACACCGGGAAATGCGAAGATCGTCAACCCGATTATCCACCCTGGGCCCCTTTCTACAGCCGCGTATTCGACGGTTGAAATGCGCGCTAGACAAATTGTTGCATGAGAGAAAGTGGCTCTCAGGTGGACACTCGTAAGCATTTTTCAATTTGTTCTTCGGAGCAACTTTGCATCCCGCACCCGTGAACACAAAACTCAGTCCTGTCGAAGTAGCCACAGCTCAGCACTGGCCGCCAACACATTCAACTCAATAAGGAGGTTGATTATAAAATCATGTAATCAACTATGGATTTGGGAAAGAGGAAGACGTAATCGGGAATAATGGCTCGTTGTACATACAAGAGCAAAAGAAAAAGATCCCACAAGGACGGTCGGAATTTGGCATACACGTCCACAGTCGATAGTCTCTTGCACGCCAAGAGCGAGTACGTTCATCTGAAGTCTGTTTATTTGGGGTATTGGCATCCCATCTCAAGCACGCTATGTTTGAACCGCTAGTTGCAGTCTGGTGTTCAACACCCATCCCAGCCACTGATAATCACTACCTTAATCAACAACAGTCCACGACCCAGAAGGGCCATACTCAATCTCATGCGACGTGACATCCTCAAAATCAAGAACCTTGAGCGAAGAATCGTGGATCTTGTCTACCATGGCGCCTGTTTCCGCCGACGGCTGGAACCACACGGCCGCCAGCGGCTTGGGCGTTAGCGTCTCGGAGCCGGGCGGGAGCGGGCCGAACTGGCTGACGTGGACGGGGGCCTCGACTCCGTTTACGGTCTTGTAGATGACTGCCGATGCGGAAGAGGCGAGGTTCTTGAAGAGGAAGCCGTTGGCGGGGGCGGTTTCGTCCATGGTGGTGACGCCGTCGGTCCAGTCTGGTGGGAGGGTCCATGATTCGCCGAACGTGATGGGCTGTTGGGTTGTTGCGACGTCGAATTTGACTGTTTGTTTGGGATTCCCGTTAGGAAATGGTCTTGACCAGTTTCAGATGAGCTATTATCAAAGAAATGGAAACGCACCTCCGCTTGAGAAGGCGCTCATTGTTCCTGCAATGGAGTAATCGTCTACCCATGACACAGTCAAGTTTCGAGCGCAGACTATTGCATCATATTAGTCGAACTTCAACCTAGGTATGAAGAAGGAGGGTTCCCATTCAAGTTCATACCTGAAGAGTACCCGATGACGTTGAACTTGGTAGACCCAGGCCGCGCAGTCGTGTCGAAGCCGAAGCCAAGGCATAATCTAAGACCGCCGGCTTTGAACTTCTTAACCATGTTTTGGTCAATTTTGATGTTGAGCTTGTATTCCGTCATGATGGCTGTGAGATTGAAAGTGATTTGATAGGTATTCTGAGTGTCGTCTGCCGAAGTAATCATCAGCTGGAGATGAGGACCCCCTTTTTGTAGGCTGGCCCGGCACGTCTCCCAACCCCTTATTTCTACAAGAACATCCTGATCCCGGCCAATGGCATGCTCCGGGAGAGTCTCTCGATGTCTCGTACACCACAAGAACTGAGAACACACATACGAATGACGCATCTGTCTCGCCCACGTTCACAGCGGAGCCGCCTAGCTAGGCGAGTGCGAGAGCTGCGAGTGCGATGTCTCACTTGAGGCCGAAAGGGGAACAGCCCGTGGACCGTCGTTCGCGCGAGTGTGTACGTTAACGGCTGCGTAGCGCCGCGTAGTGCAGCAATTGCCGTTCAAATACGATTGCGGAGCGGCGCTAAAGTGGTTATTCGCCAACGGTTCGGCAAAGTGGTGATGCGACGTGTGTGATGCGGCGCGTGTGATGAAGCGATTCCTCTGGTCGAATTCGTAAAAGGGTATGATGGACGTTTGCGAGGGTCCTTTTTTTCTTACCTCCGCCTTATCTGCGTTTTGAGAAACAGAGACATGTCTCTGGTGCGCCGTAGGAATCACGTCTTGGGTCGCTGTTGGACTGCATTGAGCAGGTTCGGAGTTCCGAATGCTTGGTTTGAGTTGCCACGCCATTTTGAACGCCGAACATGGTGAGATCTGAAGCCCGAACGAAGGGTTTGTCGTGATGGAGGCCTGGCCTCTGCGACTCAGTTGAAGCAAATGGATAGTCGGCACAATAGCTATGCTGCCCGGTGTCTTGGGGGTTTTCTAGAACATGATAGGTATATTGTCTATTCTCTGGCAGCTTTTGCAAGACTAGGCCAGATTGCATCGGCGTCAAAGACACGCAGTCTGTCTTTCAAAATGGTCCAACATTTTGAAGACACCTGATTGTCGAAACATTGCTCATCTGGGATTTTGTCCCATGTGATACATTCGCTGGATTGGGTGTGCTATTAGAGGATGAGACGAGGTTGAGCTGCCGAAGACGAGGGCTTCACCGGATACAGTTACCCTTGTGCTGAGGTTCCAAAAGGTCTGGATCTTTCAGCCTCAATCCGCACGAAACTTGGATCTGTTTTATCTATCACAGACTTCTCAGCCTCATCGAGCCAAGCCTATATTCGGCGGATGGGTGTTATCATTGAGGTTCAAGATCAGACTCTGAAGTTATCATCTCGTCGAGAGTATGCATGGGATTCAGTCTAATTTACAGATGAGAAAGACTCAGTTGAAGGCAACCAAGGTACGATAAAGCTGTTGAACCATAGGTCCATCTGAGCTCAACCATCGATCATGCCTTTGATTTGATATACAGGTGAAGAAAGACCGCCGCAAGAAGTACAAGCAACATCAGGCTAGCTAAGCTGATGTATACATCAGACTGCTCAGTCTCCCAAAGAACAACTTCTAAGTCTTCCATCTCCGGCAGAGGGCCAGAACCATCCCGACTCTCAGACTCATTCATTTTCTCTAATCTCTCCGTCTGGTCATGGAGATCATCAAACGAAGAAACCTCCTTCAATCTCTTCGAGGTGTTCGGATCATAAAGATCAACAAATGCAGCAACCTCCTTCAAGCTCTTAAACGAAGCTCCTCCAAGAATAGGAGGCTCACCGCCGCTCAGTCGATACGGCCGCAACGCCTCCAGGTGCACAGAGTGCCACTGCCGAATATTCACATATGAATTCTTCGCCAGCGGAAGACAATCGTCGGGGAAGCAGAGCTGGGTGTCGGGCATGGCCGGGTGTTGTGCTGGCTTGATGGGCACGTATTTAAGCCAGTGGGCCCAGTCTGGCCTGTGGGCTTGCGCGATGCCGCGGGAGCCCATGGAGGTGATCTATAGGAGGGACGGTGAGCATGCAATCCGGAGTACCTACCTTAGTTTAGGATGAGTGAAACGTACCATGAATATCTGAACGAGGCCTTCGGGTGAAGGAATTCTGGACATGATGACCACGGGGTGGTTATATGCTCCTTCTTGTAGGCTGGGGTCGATGCCGGCGGGTATTTGATGCTGGGGTGGGAGCCACATGATTTGGCCAGGGAGGCTTCTGGTACTTTGGCGAGGTCTGGAGAGTTTTGCCCCTGGTTTTCTGCTTGTCGGGGGCATCGTAGTTCGAGACATTGGAGGCTGCCAATATCGAAGGGGAAATGAGATAAATGAGCCCAATCCAGAGATTGAAAATGGAAGTGTTGAAAAAAACGCTTCAAGTCATCAAAGATAGAAAATTAATCAAGAAAGAAATTATTGCGATGAAAATTCTTTACAATAGGCATTCTCTCCGCCTCAAATCATTTCACAGTTGAGTCTTCCGGCTGATTCTAGAGGGAGCCGAGTTCATGCTTTCCGGCTCCGTTGGTTTGGACCCTGAACTAATGCCGAGCCGCCCAAGTCAAGAACAAGGGGGGGGGGGGTCACATCCAGGTTCTCAGGCTTCAAACGATCGAGCTGCATCTGCAGGTTTGGCTGGGCCGTTGGTCTTGGGATTCCAACCCTAATCATGGAACGGCCCGAACCCAAGAAGTCTACGTACACAAATGCCATCGTGTGTGTGAGCGCTACCATAGTCTACCCATGACCAATTGTTAAGACGAAAGTCAAGGTGTGGCTTACTTTCGAGCTTGCGATGGTGTACAGCTCACAGGGATGAGGTCTTGATGTTTCTACGGGAGCCTTCTTGATATCACGTGCAAACCGGAAAAGCGAAATGCATTCTTGTTAAAGAGGCATAAACAGTATGACATGGATGGTCGTTCGAATGGAGATAGTCTTTGGAAAAATAGCATGGGAGTGGCGGAGATATGCCAGCAAGCGAAGCGGCGGAGATGCACATCAAGAAGAACCGCACCTTGTCATTTTCCAAGGAAGAATGATTCCACAAAGCTCTCCTCGAAAAGAGAATTCAATCAGGTAGGAACGGGGCTGGAGATATGTTTAAACTTCCGACAGGCTTGTCTACCTAGCTCTTGTCAAGAGGGGTGTGGGTGGGTGGTGCAGAGGAACACGACCAGGGTAGACTGTTCAAACCAACAAAGAAGCATTCACCCTCATCCTCACTCTCACTCACCCTAGCTACTCTTCTTCACTGAGGCGGTAAAAGACCACTCTTTCAAAGCCACTTGAACAACGTTCTACCAGAACACATATCCTTTGTCACCAATGCGGAGGGCCCAGAATGGTTCATCCACGCATGGAGGGAAGTAAGAGATTAAATGGGAACAAAATCTTTGAATGCCCGTTTCTACCATGGCGTTAATCATTCCATGTCCTTTCCTGACCACCAGCTCTTCTGCAACTCCGTATTCTAGAGCATATACACATCTCATCATATCTAAGATACTCCGCACACATATCGCCAGCACGAAGACGAAAGCCCCCTCCATCCTTCGAAGACCAAGAACCATCAATATCGGCCTCCTACCCCAACCTATCAAAGAAACTCGACGATGTGCTACAAAGTCCACTCGCACACAATGTCGTGCGACATCCGCCCAACCATAACATCAACAGCAACCCTCTACATAAACCCCTACCAAACACCACCACGCTGTCCCTGCCGCCCCTCCTCCTCTCCACACTACTCCTCCTCCTACTATCACTCCTCAACACCATCCAACTCCCGCCCCTGCCCCTCCCACGCCTGCTGCAGCCTCAACATCATCCTCTACCGCTGCGCAGCCTACTGCCGCCAACCGACAGACTACCACCAATACGCCGAATCCTCCCCCACCGCCCAGCACTCTTACTACACCCAATCGACCTCCCGCGCCGCATACTCGTATTCATACTCCTACACAAACGACCACACATACCCCTACTCACCACACTACCCCTACACCTCCCCCCGCCCACGCTGGCGCACAATCCGCATCTTCGACCGGAACCCAGACTTCCACGCCCTCGAATCCGCCGACCTCCGCTTCGCGATCTCTGAACTTGTCGACATTGGGGGGATCCTCCTCCACGCGGAGTCTGAACTCGAAAAAGCGCGGCTGCGAGTAGATCGCGAACGCCGGCGTCACGATGCCGCGCACGGGCGGTCCTGTGAGCGCCAGCGGGGCCACCAGCGGGAGTGTAACTGGACTCGACGCATCGCGGAGATGGCGCTCGAAGCAGACGATATCAAGTTCAGCTCCGAGGTGCTGGCGGATTGCTGGGTGAAGTACGTCGGGTTGCTGCGGAAGTACGAGTCGTTGGGGCAGCGGCGGGTGAGCGGGCTTATCGAGGATCGCGGACATCGGCGGCTGCGGAGGAGCGGGATCGAGGTTGAGGTTGAGGTTCCTAGGTTGGACACGGGGAAGCCGTTTCGGTATGTTTCGCGGGAGAGCTGGAGTCGGGAGAAGAGGGTTCCTGAGGGGGATCGGGAGTGTTGTAGGGAGTATAAGAAGGGACATGGTAGACCGGAGGCGAATACGGGGCGACGTCGGTCGGTGAGGTTTGCGGATGAGGTTGGTGGTGGGAAGGGGTATCTTGGTGAAGGTGGGCGGAGTCGGAGGTGGTCGATGTACTAGATTGCTGTCTCGTTATTCCCTGAGTTTGTGACAGGGGGTTGACGGTTCACGATATTCAAGGCGTGGGCGCCGGGTAGAGTAGACATCGCTTCATTAAGTTTTGCGTCGAGATGCTCTAAATGCTATATGCTCGCAAATGTACCGCCCAATGCATGTCCATGACTCCGAGCTCGCTGATACGGGGTTTCCCAATCATGCTGTTGACCCTAAACAAAAACACAATTCCTGCTCACGACTAGTAGACGAGCTTGAATTCGACATCCGACTTGATGGCCTTCAGAGTCTCCGGGATCGGTAGTGGATCGTAAAAAGGATTCGGGCGGAAAGTCACCTCCTTCAACTTGGGCAAGATGGCCTTGCTTTCGAAAACAAGTTTATACAAAGCGTCCTGCAGGCCCTTTTCGTAGACTGCGCGTTCCTTTGCGGATAGCTGGTCGACCTCGATATCATGCCACAATTCCGCCAAGTCCAGAACCTCCACTGTCGGCGGCAGTCGCGAGATTATGTCAATCTTCTCGACCCACTGCGGCTTCCCGTACAAGATTCCTATATCGAGTTTGACGTTGCGCAGCGACTTCATCTTGGGAAGTACCGTCAGTGTGCCATCTCCGCCAACGTGTTGCGAAAAGTTGCCCGCTAAGATACCCTCAAACGAAAAGGTTTCGAGAGTATCGGCCACCAGAGACAAAGCCGTATTCAGGTTGTGTTCACCGTCGGCAGGCTGTTCGGCTACACCGCTGGGACCCATCTCGAGGAGCTTGAGATTGGGACAAAGGGCGCATATTGCGTGCCATCCTTGGCCCCACATGCTGCTCCGAACAAGTCGGAGTTCCTCGACATTCTTCCAGCTACCATCGTCACCCCAGCCATCACCGGGCTCCAGAACGGCAGGACGATACACGGCTGAACCGAGCTCCACGGAGCGCAGGTTGGGTAGTCGCAAAAGGCACGGCAACTCGCGGCGCGGCCAGAAGCTCGCGCCGGGAAAGTCCGGCATCGGCTCCAGCATGACGCGGGTGAGGGAGCTCAGGACGCGCGGGCAGCCCTCGGCGGTTTCGATGTCGGGGGTGAGAATAGCTTTGAGCTTCTGGTACTCTCCAGCGGCGAAAGGCATGCGCATGTGCAGGGTGCGTAGGTTTGGTGACGAGTAGAGGATGAGCGCAAACACAATCTGGGCGAATTCGAGCTCTGTCTTGGCGTCACGCACAAATGCCTTGATGCGGTCCGGGAATCGGGGCGAGGCTTCTACGAGGCGGCGCCATTCGGTGCGCTTGTACGGGCAGAGTACGTCCGTCGGATAGTGATCGGTGCCTAAGCAAGAGACGTAGGAGAGGATGCGCATGTTGTCGCCCAGCTCTGGGCGTTCGAGCAGAGTCTGGAGGAGGGACTGAAGCCGTGTCTGACCCCATAGATAGACTGTCTGGTAGAGGAAAGGTATTGCCAGGTCCGAGAGCCGGCGACACACGAACGCGAGGCGGTAAAGGGCGACGCGGTTCGTGACAACGACGCCATCTGGATCGGTGTAGGCTTGGAAGGGAATGTCGAGGCCATCGAGCGGCGGTGTCAGGTGGCCGACAATTTGAAGCAAGACTTCATCAGGGAGGGCAAGTAATGACAAAGACGAAGCCATTGTGTGAGAGGAACCGGTGAGCGGTGGTTGAGCGGGTGAGAAATTAGGAGTCGTCGTCAAGTCGAAGGAAGGGAGGTGGAAAGGAGAGTGAGATATTAGATCTTGATTAGGCGGGGTTATGTGCCGGAGTGAGACAGCGTTGAAGTCTGTGACCGGACGAGGAAAGTTCTAGACGAGACGAAATAAAAGAGACAGATAAAGAGTGAGAGACGTGTGCCCAGGCCTGTCTCAACCAACAGGTGGTTGGCGGGGGAGGCTGAGCAAGATGAAAGCGAGATGGTGACCTTATGTAAAGCAGTCACTTTACTTGGCGAAGCGACAGCGACAGCGACAGCGACACATGCCAGCGAGGTTAAGGTAGATGAGCACGCAGGGTTTGACGAGGGAGAGGTGGGAGGGCTTGCAGGAGGAGAAAACCGAGAAGAAAAAGAGATATTTAGATGAGACGGGCGCGTGGCGTAGCAAGATTCCCCCAGGTTTTCCGCTCCGATGCACTCCACCAAGAACCCACCGTGTCAGGGACTCCCAGGCTTCGAGAGTCTCCGATAACGAAGGGGCCCCCTTTTGACGATCCGGATGCGGCGAGTGGAGGGGGTTTGGTAACTTGGTTCAGTCTGTGAGAAGCGGATGCGGATGGGGGAAAGGTGTTAAGGAAGTGTAAGCAAGTAAAATACCGGTAGGCAATAAGAAAAGATGGGCCTTGGGTGCCATGGGGATTTGAGTGTGGGCGGAATCCCATCTTATTGATTGTTGCTGTTCCGAGGTCCTTGTCATCCAGATGCTTCTGCTGCCATGCGCGGCAGGATACGTACTTGTACATATTACATGCGTACCTACATCCAGCCCAATACCTTATTACTTTACTGCTTTGTGGGTTCGTGCGTCTGCGTATGCGCTGGAAGAAATTGGAATATTCTGCACACGTATCTCGGACGGGTTTCGAAAAGGTCGATGAAGCTTCCCGGGTTCGAAGGCCACCTCCATCGTGGAACAAGTCTTTGAGGTGAAGATGGCATCTTTGAGTCGTGACAGCAGACCAGCCTGCACTTGCAATAGCAACGGGGGACGGCGGTGGTATCGGAGGAATGACGTTGCCGGAAGCGCACCCGTTCCTCGGCGATCATTGAGCTGTCTGGAGGCTTGGCTGTAACTACCCTGAATTTGGCGTGGACGAGGTTGGGTGACAACGCATGGTCTGCGAACGAACGAACCGATCGGGATGCCAGGGCCGAAGGGTAAACTCTCTTGTTGATTACCTAGCAACTTGGTAGTGTTGATGGTGGTCGGCGAGGACACATTGGATGAAATAGCGTCGCAGCCATGGTGCAGTGAGGAATTCGAAGCGGCAGAGAAGGGAGCACAGAGGAAGAGGAGCAAGACCTTCACCTGCGGTGGGCTACCCAAGGTGAGAAAGGTGAAAAAAAGAACAAAAGATAAAAGAGTGGGGGCGGTGGATGGAGGGGTATCCCAATTCGGGATAGTGCAGAGACGTATACATGGGATCCACCCTCGGAGGGCTGGAAGCGAATGATTGGCAGATCCCCGCGCCGCCTCCCTTCCGCCCCTTGACGCTGCCGTCCCTCACCCAACCCCAACACCTCCAGACATCCCATCCGCCATCCAAGCTGACTGACATCAACTCCCAAGTTTCGACTCAATCTTGTTCAGACTTTGTTTCTCCACCGCCTCAACTAGGAGTTGGAGATGGTTGCAATTGCGTCCAATGTGGAAAGTGCATTGCTTCAATGGCAGGTCTGGCAGTTTTATACAGCCATCTTGGTGGCTTGGCACCTTGGCTACGTTAGGACTAACAGACTGTCGCCGCAGTACTCCAAACTTACACCGCAATTACCTACCCATCCCGAGTGCCATTTGGCTTGAATTGTCGACGGGAGAAGCTTGCCAGACGGAAACACGGCGGTCACGAGGGCCAGACCACATAGCAGTGCGAGCGGTCTGGTTATGGGAAATGATCCAATTTATCACGCTATGGCAGATCCGGATCGACGTGTTTGTTTGCAATCTGGCCAGGTTATGCATGTCTTGGCACCTCCCTTCTTTTGCTGTCAACTTCTATTGCTAATACCTACCTATTCATGCAGGTCAATTCCATTCCTTCATTGACCGTTGGAATGTGGATTTCGAGCCTCAAAGCAATACCGACAATGCTTTGTTCCTCGCACTCGATCATGTCGCTGTCCTCCCTGCTTACCTAATATCCAACGGAGACTGGACACCTGGCCCCATAGCCCGGGCGGCCTTGAGCCTCAGGCACTCAAACGTATTCCCCAGGCATCAAACTCCTGAACGCCTGTGTCCGCTTGCTTGCGGATGTCTCCCACTACCACTCCCACTTTGTCGCTACCGCTCCCGCAGACACACCAAAATCGTCTTCTCCAACAGGGTGCCCCCAGTCATTGCGAACAGGACGGTTCCTCGACTCCAAAGAGATCACACCACTTTCCGGGGCCTTACGGATCTCCTCCGTCAGGGATCCCACGCTTAAAACGTGGTCGACACCGTTGACCCCCCCTACGGAGTAATCCAGGGTCTCTCCCAGGTTCCCACTGTTCCGTCGGCCTGGATTCGCTTTCAAGACGACGACACGACATCGCCGCCTACCTTATTCAGTGCCATGCCTTTTCGACGTCGTGTCGAGGGCAGAGTCGACGACTCACACCGTGCAGCCATAAGGCCTACCCGCCGGCTACCTAGGATTCCTCATTTTCCCGACTGGCTCACGCTGCGGTCCATGTGTCGTTGTGAAACTTGGGACCAGCTGATTCCAAGACAGAAGCTTGTTTTTCGTCTCCTCGTCGCCGTCTGGGACGAAAGTCTCCCAGACGAGCCCGCGCTTGGATAGCAAGGCATTGTTCGGCATGCTTTCGCCCCCTCAGAGGTTTATCTGGAGCCAAACTCACACAACCCGAAGAATGTTGCTCACCCCCAGTCCACCCTACTTCGGAGTCTCGTCGAAAGATGTCTACGGCGCGTCCTGTGTGCTGGAGTAGCCCCAGCAAAGATTAACCTGGAAGCTATGATGCCGGTCAAGTTGACCTAGGTCTCGTGCTGCCTTACCTCGGTGAGATTAGCTTTCAATTCTGGGCAGAAATTGGCTGAGTGGCCATTTCACATCGGGGTCCATCTTTGACACCCTCACGATGACCCATCGTTGCCGGCAACTATACCCAAAGTTTGGGGGCAGCGGTGCTCAGACTCGAATGACTTTCAAATCGCAAGCGCTTTCTCTTCGCAGTGAGCCACTAGCTATGGAGGCTTCATCACCGTCTTCATCGCGACTACTTCACCATTACTATTCCTACAGAAGTCTGCAGGTTTCAAAAGCGAGCCCGCTTGTTACGTCTACGTGTTGAAGCTAGTCAATACTGCGACTATATAACCTCAGTGCGATCGAACTACGTTGTAGCGAGCTTGACGAACGATGCTACAACTCAATCAATCAGTTAGCCTTAGGTTCCCACAAACCATCGGTCTCTTGTCCAGGGCATAGCACCGACTCAGGCTCGTCGCTACCGCTCACGCTGTCCATAGACACCACGATTCGTTTCCGCAGCCTCGATGGACTATATCGGATGGGTCTCGGCGTTTTGCCATTCTCCGATTCACTGCTGCTGCTCTCTTCGTTGCTGGAGCTCTCATCTCGCGAATGTTTACTGCCGCATACCGAGTAGACCGACTGGTCCCGAAACTTTCGTCTCCCTGGGCGTGTTCCCTCTCCACGCTCTTTGCACAAAATGGCAACTGCAGTAGGCACGCTCCCACTCCCAAGATCTCTCATAACGCCCAACGCTTCCTCTTCCGTACGACCTTGATCCAGCAACCCCTTCATCTTGTCCCAGAAGGCCTTGCGGCGAGTGAACCACGAACGCCCATACGTGCCGTTTCGCCACTTGGCCCGGTACATCTTCTCCAGCAGTTCGACAGGCTGCTGACCGTGGAGACCGTACTTATACTCTGCCCATTGCTCTTCGACTGTCGGCGGGTGCGGGTAGAACTTGAATATTGGCCGCAGAACTCCATCCTTGCCAACGACGGTCAGTGGGCTGAAGTATTTCGGGTCATCGTACGGGTTGACAGGGTCTCTTAGGGATAGCAAATTTTGTCGAGACGCTTTACGGCGAGCTATAGCTTCATTGACAGCAATGTCTGTGACTTGCTCGGCTTCGGGGGATCTGGGTCCCAGTGCCTCTGGCTCCACCTCCAACACCTCCCCCTGGTGGTCCTTGCTGTCATTGGTATCGTCATTCTTTCTCCTTCTTCTCTTCAGAGGCTGATTTGCACGTCGATTCAACGCAACTGCTCGGGGCTTAGGCGCTTTTTTGCCAGTGCTTCTTCTTACCGCCGGTAGTGACGCCCCAGGGGCCGCTGGTTGTGACTCTCGACTCTCATGGGGAATCCGAGGACCGGGTGTCCGAACTCTGGGCGCAACTGTGATGGATTCCCGTCCTGGTGGCGGCACATCACATCTTTCAGCGGGCACTGGTGGTGTTGGAGATGGCGATGGGAGAACTGCACCTCTCTCATGGTCCTCTTTACTGCCATCTTGCTGCGCGCAATGTCTCACTGCCGGATCTAGTGGATCCACTCCAAAAACTTCCTATTACCAGTCAGCACATCCAATGCAACAGCCGATATCACCTCAAAGATAACCAAGCGAACCAGCTAGGCCTCTGTAGGGACATTCGGGTACGACAGAAAACTTACCTTGACGACTGAAGTCAAGACGTTGAGCTGCTTTTCCAACCTCCTATTGACTTGGTTCACATGCACCGCCATCTCTCGATCTGTTGCTTCTTGTCGCGCCTGCAACTCCCGGACTTCTTTTGTGTACTCTTGCTGTAGTCCAATGACTATTTGAGCGAACCCTTCCTCATCTGGTGGCCCAGTAGCCAATGGCGTAGCTAAAACTTCTGATTTTGCTTCATCCTCGCTGTCAGAGTAGTCGACCAGCCGTGCTTGGCTCCGTGCTTTCATATTTAGCCGTCATAAGTTGATAGTCTTCTCGGATGAAATCTTCTGCGACTCACGTGCTCGAATGTGAATCTTGCAGAATGCTACCCAGACAGAAACGTTTCCCTCGATCCAGTGAGACGTACGGACGCCAACATTTATTCTCGGATCACGTACTTCTTAGGTGCCACGAACACGCAGGGGATCAAAGACCAAGTTCGAGGGCGGTGGTCATTACTCTCAGGCATGATCCGCCGTGTGCCTGATTTCTTTGTCTGCGTTAGAGTATGGGTTTGGCCATGTGCAACCACAATCGCCATTGTGCAATCACCCCTCGAACCTCAAATCGCCCCGTGCGCTTTCCTGCAAGCAGGACGAGTCGAGCTCTGTGGCCTAAGTGGCTGAAGAAGAATAGAGCTGCAACTGGGAATGACATCTTCTTCGACACTGTATCCAAAGGCTTGTTGTGGCTGAACAATATTAACCTCTACCATTATTATTGTGCAACACGAACTTCGTCAGGCTCGACGGAGGCGAAAGATAAAACGCCACGAGAAGGGAAGATGAATGGGTTCAATGTTTTACTCGCTAACGGATCTTACGATTCATCCACAGATTTGATAATTACTAACTTCGCGCCAAGGCACAATCGATCCTCCAACCACTGATCCGATAGCCAGATTGATAGCTGGACGTCAGTCGTCTTGCAATCAAGCGATTACTGGTTTGCCTGTGAGAAATAGAGACGGTTTTAGCGACATCTTCCCACATCACCACCCTGTCCTTATACATCATCCCAGCACCGAGAAGGCCTTCTCCGCCGGCAGGTCCCTTGAGCTGAAGCCGACCCGGAACGTGAACTCGCCCTCCGGAATAACCCACACCTTGTCCGACGCATTCCACAAGCTCACGTCCCGCCTCATTAGTTGGAACTCCACTTCAGCCGAGCCGCCCGCCTCGATCTGAATCTTTTTAAAGCCCCTCAGGACCTTCTTTGGCGTGCCTTCGGGAGCAGACGACGGGAAGGAGACGTAAAGCTGCGGGATAGCAAAGGCAGTCTTGTTGCCCGTGTTCGAGATTGATGCCTTGACGCTGATGAGGTCCTCCCAGAGCTGCGGGTGCCCGCCAGGCTGGACCGGGATAGCCGCGTCCGGGCGCGCAGCGATGGACGAGTTCCCTACGATAAAACCCACACCGACCTGGTTGTCGACCACGGCGAACGTAGTGTACGTCAGCCCGAAACCGAACTCGTACAACGGCTCGATTCCAAGCGCGTCGTAGTGGCGGTAATCAATCATCTGGCCCTCGCTGAAATCAGCCTGCCACGCAAGCGGGTCAACGACAGGTTGCGTGAGATTCACAATCGCGGGGCCAGCGTCCTCCTCGTTGCGCGGGACGGAGTACGGCAGCCTGCCGGAAGGCGCAACGTCGCCCCAAAGTAGGTCAACGATGGAGTTACCGCTCTCCTGGCCTGGGTAATGCGCCGCTAGGATTGCGCCAATCTTGGTATGGTTTGCCCAGGGCATGGTATTTACACCGCCTGAGTGCGTTACCACTACCGTCGTCGCGCAGAAATCAGCCACGTTGTTGATGACAGCCGTCGAGTTCCCGTCGAGCTCAAACGACGTGCGATCGAAGCTCTCGCTGGCGAACGTCTGCTGGAACACGAGACAGATTTCTGGCGGTGGGTACACGCCCCGGAAGTCATTGGCCGCGAGGACGTCGTTGTTGGTCACGTAGAGGACTTCCGCGCCGTACTCTGCCGCTTTGGCGCGGACGGCGGCGAGAGGGGAGATCACGTAGGACGGGCGTCCTGTGCCGGACCCTCCGCCGATGATCATTGTGCCTGTGTTTGTGTCCTCGGGGACCTCGGAGGGGCGGAGGAGGCCGTTTGTCATCTCGCCTGCGTCGTTGCCGAAGACGCCGATGATCTGGGGCTTTGACAGGGGGAGGGTCTGGTTCGAATTCTTCAGGAGGACTGTGCCGGCGGAGCCCATTTCGCGGATGAGCTTCGCATGGTCGCCGCGGACGTCGCGGCCGTGGATGAAGACGAAGCCGTCGGGGATGAAGCCCGTGTCTTTGGCGACTTGCAGCCCGACTTCTTGGAACAGG